TGAACGATCAACGGAAATGAGGAATTTTTCAATCTTTTTCTGGAATTTTGGTCGTAAATATGAACAGACGTTTCGACTGAAACTATCAGTCTCCCCCCACAGGTAATGCCATATACCTGAGCCATATACCGCCTTCCGGCTAGCTCAATAATAGATCGCTGGACTGTTGTGCGGGAGGTCGAGGGTTCGAGCCCCGGCCGGACCAATACTAGGTTAAAATAATTGAGAAGAATATGCTACCTTTCTATAACATCAAGAAATGGTTAGATATTCTAGTCTTCTCGGATAGGGACGAATAAATGGAGGTCTCGTCTCCAGCAGGGTTAGGAGTAGGAGACGTTAATTTCCTACGCACGAGATTACTGTGTGGTGGATGTCCTCCCCTGGGGTGGGGTTGGTGGGTTTGTTGGAGCTTAAACCTCGTAGGGGACCTATGTCCTATTGTTTCTGCTCCGGTACTTTGTACAAATTCTCAAATACTAATAAATATATCTTATTAGACGTTTTGTTGTGTAGTATCGCTGAGTATTTTTACTCGTTATTTGTATTTTGACTCGCCCTACGGGCTCGACACAACTCGGCACAACCCGTAAAAATACTCAGCGATACTACACAACAAAACGTCTAATAAGATATATTTATTAGTATTTGAGAATTTGTACAAAGTACCGGAGCAGAAACAATAGGACATAGGTCCCCTACGAGGTTTAAGCTCCAACAAACCCACCAACCCCACCCCAGGGGAGGACATCCACCACACAGTAATCTCGTGCGTAGGAAATTAACGTCTCCTACTCCTAACCCTGCTGGAGACGAGACCTCCATTTATTCGTCCCTATCCGAGAAGACTAGAATATCTAACCATTTCTTGATGTTATAGAAAGGTAGCATATTCTTCTCAATTATTTTAACCTAGTATTGGTCCGGCCGGGGCTCGAACCCTCGACCTCCCGCACAACAGTCCAGCGATCTATTATTGAGCTAGCCGGAAGGCGGTATATGGCTCAGGTATATGGCATTACCTGTGGGGGGAGACTGATAGTTTCAGTCGAAACGTCTGTTCATATTTACGACCAAAATTCCAGAAAAAGATTGAAAAATTCCTCATTTCCGTTGATCGTTCAGCAAAGGGTTCCTTTGACCAAATATGATGTAATTCCTCGATATTTTCAAACTAACGGTCTCAAACGTTCTGTTCTGCAGCATCGTCTTTAGTAGGTGAGGAGGAAGTAAGGATTGTAAATACCTTACAAGACACCAAAAATGCAGTAACGTTTAGATATACCGACGAAAGCCTGAAGGAGAGAAACCAGGTTAAAGAGAATATTAAATATGAAGTTGAGTTAAGGAAATATCAGCCAACGCTAAAAGGGATTGCAAAGGCGAATGGACATGAAGAGCTGGCCTCTCTTTTGGAGAAGAAATATTTGATGTAAGTTGATATACCTCTTGTAGGCCATTAAACTTAATACGTTGGCAGGACTTACCTGGATCCCTTAGCCATGCAATGTAGAAAAAAATCAGTTCATTATGTTTTTTTTCCGTGTTGGTACATTTATCAGTTTATTTACCTCCACAGGTTTGGAGATAATGAAAATGATATTGATGGCAAAGAAGACTGTAAGAAGATTACCAAAGGTATAGTGGAAGGTATAATCGAGCAATAATTGGTTGGTTTATGTTTTACATTCTCATTTTATAAAGCTTGGATTTTAGGAAACGAGTTGACGGAGAAAAGGAACGTCTTTTCACGTTATTATGATTGTGTCCAAATCTTGCTCGTTTTTCTGTAGGTGTGACACAAATCTTGTTCCAGCTTACAACCTATATCAAACGACCATCTTATCTAGGATAACGTAGCACTCCATGTTTTGAGTGTTTTAATAAGGACCACTAAAAATGGCGAGAAGTGGTCAGAGTTCGATAAAAAAAGAGCTTTAGTAGTAATTGTAATGTTTTCGTTTATTGTTTATGCAGATCAGTCCATTGAGAAATGGAGCCTCCAAAGTACAGACTCTTTTAAAAGTTTACAAGGTTATCTGGGAGATTGGGAGAGCCCCACACCACTTTCATCTTTACAAGTTTCAGTTGACGAAACTTTCCCAGGAGATACCGTTGCAGAGCAGCAAGCATATCTAGTTTTCAATGGGAGAGACCAATCAGCCATCTGTCATGAAAAGGGCGAGATGAGTGATGAAAACAAGGAAGATGGGGAAAGCTACACTTCATTTTCACTTTTACAAGTTTCGTCGGGTGAAGTTTGGCTTGAGGGAATGTTTGATGTACAAAAGGCAACTCCAGGACGTCAAGATAGTAACACATCAGACAAGTGGCCCTCTGAAGGCGGTGCAAACGCGGGAGAAAGAAGGTCATCTGATGTACAGGATTACACAGTCAAAGAGCCGCAGGAAACACTAGAATCAAAGAGTCCAGAGAAATTAGACAGCTATCACGAAAAAGGTCAAGTACCATTTGAAAAGATTTAACCTATTAAACAATATCATTAGATAACTAACTTTTCCAGACTTCTTGGCTGGCAGTGCTAGGAATATGTTGACGCTATATTACAAAAACCAGCCGCGTTGTGGGATTCAAACACCGCAATCTTAAGTTCCGTTTTACAACCCTGCCACTTACCTGTGACGTGAAAAATTTCAATTTTTAATCATTTTTTGGGGATTAATTAGGTAATTAGGTTGACTATTAAATACACGACTGAACGGGCAAGGGTCAGTTACATACACAACACGTTCATAATGTCAGCAAATGTGTTTACTATCAGCGAAGAAAGTAAATTCCTACAAAGGAGCGAAAAAATAAGTTACAATACAGAAAAAACTACTTTAAGGCGACTGCATAATGAAATAAAA